GACTGCCAGTTCATAATCGTCTAGTAAAAGGCCTTTTCTATACTGGCTTGCCTCCCCACCCGTCCCCTTAGCAAACTCGTGAATCTCCCAGTGCAACAGTAAATGTTTTTTGTCACAATTAACTTAGAATCTAGTTAAATTAGATGTATATCTCAGCTCTGCGAGGAAGACATATCGGACCAGACCAGGTATTAATGGACATGCACTGATATAATGACTCCGCCGGGGAGAGCTGATGAAATTAAAGTCTCGCAAATTTCATTAATCTCGTCCATTCCCGTTTGTTCGCCGTCTCTCAATTATCCGCTAACACGTTTAGATCTGACTACTCAGTGTTACAATGGACACCCGTGCCACGGTTGAGTGTGATGATTGAAGCTAATGTTTCCAATGACGTTTTGTGTGTTCGGTCACTGAGTCCTGACACTGAAAACAATGCGATAAGAAAGGTGATATTGAAATTAAAAACGATGTCAATGAAAGAGACGTGTTAGATATTCCCAATACTGAACCATACACAAAAATAATGGATAAAGTGCGCTGAACTTCCGTGGTTAAGAAACTGAATGAAATTGTTAACTGCTAAAAGCCATAAGTGTCTCACTTTAAGATGCTCCTCGATATACTGTATAATGACAAATGAATCATCTCATTTTGATAATACTATTTGTGGTATTTTAAATCTGATCTCATACTTAGATAAAGTGTTTCAATTTATGCTCACAGCGATACACGTATCTGGGCTAGGTAGTGCTGATGTTATGGCATTTGAGGAAAACTTAAAACACTAATAGCGTCAGTGACATATTAACCTCTGGTTTTGATGCCCAAATGCTTAATGGAAGCCCAAAATCTACTTTAACTCGTAATACTGCATGGCACTGCAGATAATTTCCCTTACAAAATCGACGGGAAATTAGTCAGTTTGTCCGTAACTAAACAATAATTAATTGATTTTAACCTTAAGTGTCAGGTTCAATTATAGGCACAATCACAGGCACGTCACCCATTCACTCTCCCAGAAATCAGCGTGGCTCCCCATCAGTTATTAACGACCTCATCAGCGTCCCCATGATGTGACACATCTTAATTAGACCGCAACGGGAAGTATATTAATCAATTGCTTAATTAAGCGTACTTTTCTATAGCTATGAGCAAGTTTGCGCGAGCTTACAAGGAGGAGGGGAATGGTGAGAACATCTCGACCCCCTAGGTACTTTCGGCGATAACATTACCAGGGCCGGAGGCACTTTGGAACTAACAGCCCATCTCGTGAAAAGGAAAAATCGTTAGATTATTATATAAACACGCGCAGCTGAAAAACTACTGGGATCTTCCACAATCTGTATTGTTCCCTTTTCTTGCGTTTTTGAATAAACCGCATTGGTTTACTTGCATTCCGATCTTAAAAAAAAGAAAGGCGTAGACGAAAAAAATAAAGAATGTAAATAACCGGGTATTTGTTTCACCTTCTGGTTGGCGGCAAGGCTGACATTTAATCAAGGTTGCTCTCTTTGGTATAGACACGGAAGGCGTTAAGACAAACACAGCATCCTGTACGAGATTGAATGGCAAGGATTGATTGAATGGCATCGTATTAAATAATTTACAAGTTATCGTTTCTACACGTTATTGAGTGACAACGAAAATAATAAAATACAGTATGGTGTATGAAGACAGTGTGAGAGTTGGACTATATACAGACTAATAATTTTCCATGTTTCAGAATTAAGTGATATCACTTAATAGGTANGTCGATCTAATCTATGGAAATGGGGTGCATTAAGAAACCGAATGAAATTGTGAAGTGCTAAAAGCCATAAATGTCTCACTTTTAGATGCTCCTCGATATACTGTATAATGACAAATGAATCATCTCATTCTGATAATACTGTTTGTGGTATTTTAAATCTGATCTCATACTTAGATAAAAGTGTTTCAATTTATGCTCACAGCGATATATATATATATATATATATATATATATATATATATATATATATATATATATCTGGGCAAGGTAATTCTGTTATTATGGCTTTTAAGAAAAACTTAAAATACTTATAGCGTCAGTGACATATTAACCACTAATTTTGATGCCCAACTGCTTTATGGAAACCAAAAACCCATTTCTACTCATAACACTACATGGCACTGCAGATATTTTCCCTTACAAAATCGACTGGAAATTAGTCAGTTTGCCCGTAACTAAACAATAATTAATTGATTTTAACCTTATGTGTCAGGTTCAATTATAGGCACAATCACAGGCATATCACCCATTCACTCTCCCAGAAATCAGCGTGGCTCCCCATCAGTTATTAACGACCTCATCAGCGTCCCCATGATGTGACACATCTTAATTAGACCGCAACGGGAAATATATTAATCAATTGCTTAATTAAGCGTACTTTTCTATAGCTCTGAGCATGTTTGCGCGAGTTTACAAGGAGGAGGGGAATGGTGAGAACATCTCGACCCCCTAGGTACTTTCGGCGATAACATTACAAGGGCCGGAGGCACTTTGGAACTAACAGCCCATCTCGTGAAAAGGAAAAATCGTTAGATTATTATATAAACACGCGCAGCTGAAAAACTACTGGGATCTTCCACAATCTGTATTGTTTCCCTTTCTTGCGTTTTTGAATAAACCGCATTGGTTTACTTGCATTCCGATCTTAAAAAAAAGAAAGGCGTAGACGAAAAAAATAAAGAATGTAAATAACTGGGTATTTGTTTCACCGTCTGGTTGGCGGCAAGGCTGACATTTAATCAAGGTTGCTCTCTTTGGTATAGACACGGAAGGCGTTAAGACAAACACAGCGTCCTGTACGAGATTGAATGGCAAGGATTGATTGAATGGCATCGTATTAAATAATTTACAAGTTATCGTTTCTACACGTTATTGAGTGACAACGAAAATAATAAAATACAGTATGGTGTATGAAGACAGTGTGAGAGTTGGACTATATACAGACTTATAATTTTCCATGTTTCAGAATTTTCCCAAATGGGATTAAGCTTCACGTTTTGAATAGTTTATCTCAATAGAAAGGCGTTCGATCTATTTACATTTTTACTTTCTCATACGAAGCAGAACTGAGAACCTTGAATATGTTATAGATGCTCGAAGAAATTTAACAAATTTGTCTTTATTTTTCAAAGAAATTCTTTTCGAAAAGTAGCGTTGATATAATATTGTGTACGATAAATTATACACATCATTTAACTCTATGTTGAATACAAGAGCTCCTTGGCAACGCTCTTTCGCTACCGTTGTTAAAGTTATCGCAGAATTCGATGAAAAAAAACTGTTCAAACTGTTTAAGTGCAGACTTGAATCAAATTTTTTTCTAATTTTTTTCTTGGTGGCCAGTACTGAGTGCACGAGTTCATCAAAAGTTGTTTCACCCCTACTGTTTAAATAATATATAAGTGGAGTCAGTCCAGTATGTATATTTAGTTTCGCTCACAGTCACACGAGACAGGAATGTCTAGTCACACTAGGTACAGGACAAATACACGGTTGATGTACCAAATGGCACGCGATGATTATTTATTCCTATCGTGCAGTAGGGAGTTCTGCTAGAATGTTCACCTAACGAAAAGAAAAGTACACCTTCTAAGACACCATTCCCATAGACATAATCGGTGTACGTGGATCGACCCAAAGTCGCGGGGACCCGCGGTTAGTCCAATCAACTTAACTGAATGACACATCTCCTCTAGTTAAACATATAATCACATATAATCACCAGGTTTTTGTATTCTACGCCAGGAGGAGGCGTGTCAGTCAGTTAAGCTGATTGCAGTCGGCGAGTGTCCCACAGACCGCTGGTGTCCATGGGAATGGGACGTAAGTCTCTCTCTCTCTCTCTCTCTCTGTATATAATATTTAAATATTAAATAGGCACAGGGCACATCAATAATCCTTAATTAGCTAAACTGGTGAAAGCAAAGGTAATGTTGAATGTCCACATTTCCTTGAGTATCTCCTATCATCATAAATTCCCGATGACAGAAAGCTATCAAGCAGCAGTTATTTCTATAACGGAACAAAGTCCTCATGAGACGTATCTTTAAAACATTTAACATGACAATGCCTTTAGCCGATACTTTTAGTAGCAAAATAAGGGCAAGGAGGTCAGTTTGAAAAAATGGCTGTCAATCTCGGATATATAGAATTTAATTCATTACCGCTAAAAGGATTTACTTGTCGGTAACTGACTGGCAGTTAAATAAAACATTTATGATAAAACGCATTATTAGATTAATTGACTGGCAGAAGAACTGCCGAGCTCTGGGATTCCTGTCAGATGGTGAGAGATTAAAGATTCATATAAATTTGACTAATCAATTTCGGAGAAAGGAGAGAGATTTTATGTAATTCTAGTGTTGACGTGCGTTGGTGTGTAATCAAGTATATAAAAATGCGCTCCATTGCGCTTTGAACTCTTTTTTGATTCTTGTTTTCTTCGTCTTTGTGTATTCACTTTAATACATAACGATATCTAGTAGTCGGATCGATTATTGCAGCCGTTACGGAGCACTGCAGTTTATTTCACACCCGTGTTACATCATTTTATTCACATTAAAACATTCGTCATGCTAAATTTGGAGATTGTCTTCGAAATCATTAAATAAGTGAAACGATGAAACGCATCATTTGACTTGGATTTGTCAGGCAATTTTCTGTGGCAAGCCTGTGGAGAATTACATCTAATGCAAATCATCGCAGTAAAATGCAATATCCTTGCACTCGGATTGCGCCCAAATCCCACCCAACTCAATCTCACCTGGTGCAATTTGCTGTAACAGCAACCACTATTTACGTGTAAAAGTTACAAAATCAAATCCGTTAACTTCGATAAAACATTTCGCTAAACGGCCGCTTAACCGTACATGTTGAATTCAACCATTTTAAATGTTTTTTTTACGTTACGTTTATGGTACCGTACGCTTACACCATCAATAAGCATTGTTATTTCTTTGAATTGTAGTCAAAAACGACACCACCCCACTGCCGGTAATGGTTTACATCCACGGGGACTCGTACAGCGTGGGTAGCGGCAACGCCTATGACGGCAGTGTGTTGGCTAGTTACGGCGGGGTGATTGTTATAACGCTGAACTTCAGACTGGGAATATTAGGTGAGTGGACTGAAATAATCATTTGTGCCTAGATGCGCTATTGTATCGTCTTTTTTTAATTCTACTTGACTGTGTAACGTTTTTATGACCGATTTTTTGTGACTGAATACAAGGGGAATGGCTATTTTAATAAACCGTACTGCGCAATATTTAGTGAAGATGAAAATGTGAATGGTTTGCTATAAAGAAATAAATGAAATAAATGAAAGGAAACAGAATTGTACGATCATTGAGGAGGTTTTCCTTAGCAAAAGAGGTCGACGCAATAAAAAAGTTTTGCAGCTGACCGACAAACAGTGACAGTGCGCAGTTTTAACAGAGAAATGAAACTTAAGTAAATTCTTTAACGTAGCAGAAGGCAATCGATATTCTTATCACTGAAATGTTTCACTCCAGTAATTCACTAAACTTTAACTTTCGTTCAATTTGTCAACATTACCTTTAACCTTTTACTGTTTTAACCAAATGTATGTATGCAGATAATAATTCGCCTACTTCACTTTTGATAGCGTTTCAGCATTTTCTTAGCTTAACCTTTAACTGTGGTCTATACCTTAGGCTTTCTAAGCAGCGGCGACGCAGAGGCGCCGGGGAACTACGCAATCTGGGACATCCAAGCGGCACTTGTGTGGATCAAGAACAATATCGAACCGTTCGGCGGAGACGCGCAGAGGGTGACGTTGTTTGGTCACGGCTACGGTGCTGCTTTGTTAAACATACTTATGGTGTCTCCTGTCTCGCGTTTACAAGGTGCGTATACAAATTGTTTACATTTTTTTTTCCAAAATCTTTTTTTTTTAATTTGTAAAGTTTTGTCGAAGTATTATTCAAATTGTTGAATGCAGATTATAAAGGACAGCTGCAGTTATCATACATATTTTTATTGGTTTACATTTCAAAGAGTTGACAACTGCAGCTAAAAAGTTTCACGTGATACAGGATAACTCAAGTTAATGCCAAAGCAATACTATACCGCAGAGATATATTAGTTAGCAATATAGCAATTTTAACAAAAAGGGAATGCTGACGGGTTGTCCTGTATTACTTACTTTACTTAGCGTTGATTTCCGATGCAGGTTCTTACTTTATCGGACTCCTCCTCTAAAAACTAACTTGTGACTTCAGATGATGTTAATTTCGGACCTGTACTCATCATACTTAAGTTCCTGTTCATCCCACCACCCATCTAATCTATTTTTAAATGAGTTAAGACTTTTAGCAATGACAACTTGATCGGGTATACTATTCCACATTTGTGTTGAACGCACTGTATTCTTTATTATTTCTTTCAAACAACCCTGAAACTTAAAGGAAAACATATAACAATAATAAATAAATAATAAATACCTCATAAAACAATCTCATCAAACCAAATTAACATATTATTCCAGAATTTCCAAACACTCTTAGTTAAAGTCAGTCAGTTCCTCATTAACACAAAGCTACATTTTTGTCATTTCATAAATCTGACAGCTTGTTTTTGATAGCACATTCAGTTAGCTCTACTCACGACTAAACCCATTAGGAACATGAATATCCAACAAAGCAGTTATACATTGTTACAACAAACTTACCATAAACTCCCTATTTCTTTAATAACTTGGATTTGTGCACTCATCATCAGTCTCATTCACTTTTAGTGTTAAAACCTAAATGAAATTAAGAGAAATAAAAATGGTGAATGATGTAGAATAAGTCACGTTTCCCTTACATATGATATTGCTAACACTATTGTGATACCAAACACTTACTAGGAACAACTACAGTACATTCTCTAATTTTAAACATACACTTATTATATGTAACAATAAAGTGTGAATAACATATTACTTTTAAACATGAACATAAATGTCATATGCTTACTTTTTTGCTGTCGTCTAAGGTCTCCTAAGTTAAGGTCCTGCCTGTCTCACTACTTTCAAATGCCTGCGAAATTCAACACAGAAAATGCTAGCAGGTCACGTGGACTACTTCTCACTTATGCAAATCATATGTGGAGAGACTGAGATTGTGCTAGTTGTGCTGCTAGTTATTTCGGTGCAATCATTACCCCTACACAACCAATACATATATGTACCTTGGAAAAGTTTCTCATGTCTCTCCGAATCCATTAATCTAAAAGGCAAACCTCACAACGTACATATAGGTGCTGTTATTTTACATAGGGCAAATTCCAATGGCGGATCCAAGGGTGCAAATCAGGCACGTGCGGTCTGTTCCCAAAGGTTTGGTGGTACATTGTTCCCACATCGTCCCATTACGTCATTACAATTAACATGGGACGAAAACAAGCAATTTTTCCATCCATATATATTGAAGGTAAATATTGTTCACGACAACTGTATCAAAGCTATGTATTTAAAGACATACACAGGCGCAATATCACTGGTTTATTTTCTAGGTAAACCGTTGTTCCAAAGAGCGATCACTCTAAGCGGCTCCGCTCTCAGCACGTGGGGGCTGTCCCGCCACCCCTTCCATTACACCCTGAAGTTGGCGGAGAGAGTGAACTGTTCCCACGCCGTCCAGAACTCTGCGGAGCTGGTTGCCTGTCTGAAGAACACGCCGGTAGAGGAGCTTCTGGAGGCCGAAATGCCGGCGCATAAATACTTCACCAGTTTTGGTCCCGTTGTGGACGGAATGGCCATCTTGCCGTCGAGTGTGGAGGATTTGATGACCAATAACAGAGGGTAGGCTATAGAATATGGGGACAGTTTTCTGTTTTTTAGACGCTTGTTGATATGTCGTTTACAGTAAAAAAAAAAGTCTAACTGTGTATCTGGTTTACACTTTTGGCAGTCAACCATAGTAAGAACAGGTTTGGTTTGAAAAGACCGTAAATACTCATATTTTATACAATTGCGCCTATTTGAGAATATGGGTGACCCTTCCAATCAGATGTTAAACAACGTTGTGAAAAACAGAAAGCATCGTAAAATATTTCAAAAGTGCGCCAAACGGGAAATATACAAAGCAACATTTTAAGGGGGCTCTATAGTACCTCAACTGCAAATAAAAACCAAAATTAAGGTAAAAACAACGCTTTTGCCTTAAACTTTTTCTTGTTTTCTGTAGGTTATCTCAGATCGATTTGCTGACGGGCGTGGTCAAGAACGAAGGGCTAGTTTTCTGTGACCAGAACCAGTTCGAGAAGGGCATCACGGAATTAACACAGATGAAGATCGTGCGCACGTATGTCCGCAACGTTTACGACTACCACAAACAGAAAATTTACGACATTCTCCTGCACCAGTATTCCGACTGGGATCGGCCGGAAGATAACGAGATAAGACGAGACAATACGATGGAACTCCTTGGCGACGGTCAGTTCGTTGCCCCTACTATTGATTTTGCAAAGCGCCACGCAGGTTTGAACAGGAGTACATACTTTTATACGTTTAATTACCCAACAGTACGCCTGGAGGGTTCGACGAGAAGATGGGCTAATAGCGTTCATGGAGACGAGTTGCTGTACATCTTTGGTGCGCCCGTGGCTAACGGTGTTGAACCATTCGCTGATTCTTACGGCAGACAAGACCGCATGTTAAGTGAGGCTGTCATGAGATATTGGACCAACTTCGCAAAAACCGGGTAAATATGAGAACTAAATCATATGACATAATCACTGGTCATCACCCCTACATGTAATCGAAAAATGAATTTGTTATATTTTTCATTATTTTGATTCAAAAGTGTAAATGAATAGAATTTACTCTTTTCTAAATGCAATTTCGGTTATATTAATTTAGAGTCCAAACTTTTGGAACAATTTGATTGAATCATGTTTTTACTTCAATCGTTGTGCAATTCAGTGCTACGAAAGCCCACAAATGTCAATAGGAAATTGGACATCCTACTTTCTCAGTCAAAAGCCATAGTGGGCAAGTGTTTTTGATTGACCCTTTACATTAATGCTGCCCAAATATAGAAACACTCATTTTTGAGTGGCGGATACTTTAGGCCTACGTCACTGTGTTATGTGTGACACTGAAGTGAATGCCATTGTGCTAGTTGTGACACGGAACTAAATGCCATTGTGCTAGTTGTGACACGGAACTAAATGCGTTTACGCTGCGTTGTTAATGTGGTGTCAGTTTACTACGTTGGTGGCTGCTTTCCCTGTTTAGCATTGTGGATAGTTGTAGTAAGTTTCAAAATTATTTTGCCAGTTTCGAAACATCGACGTACACATACTCTACACAGACACCATATTGCATGTCAAAGTGAAGAAGTAATAATCCTGAGTATGTAAGATGTCTCTTTTCAATCTGGAAAACAATCCACAATGCTTACTGCAGCTTAGAACAACAACCAAAAGCCAGTTTATACTAAAAATGATGTTTCTTTTATTGAAAAATTAATTTGTCTGCGAATGTGGAACGTATTAATACCATTACGTGTATGTTCTGTCCACTTTGTGTGTACACGGGTAAATTCTTTGCAATCAGCGGTTTGGTGTGGCATTTAAAAATATGGCACAAAATGTGTACATGTACAGTATACGAAATTATTGGATACAAGAGACGGGATTAAATCAGATATATAGGATACAACGGGAGTGGACACAATATAAGATTGGCTAAACCATAACCATTTCCCTACCTTTGCAAAGACCAATTAGGCCTATCCATATTGTGGTAGTCCGCATATATTCTTAATTTAATACAAATTTTGTAAAACGGGAAAAATATCCACACTCACCTTATCCAGTGAGCTACTTTCATATATTTTCTTAGACAAAAGTAAACGTTAGCTGTGTAAACCCTTTTTCCACTCAAGACCTCTGTGAAACTGAACCTGCTATCCAATGTGTATAAAACGTATAGATGTCAGCACTGTATTTGGTTTGTTCAGCACCGTTGATCAGCATTGCATGCATTGTTGGTTGTTGCTACGTTTGCATTTATCAATCTCATTTGTTACCTAGCAACCCAAACCAGCCCCTCCCGCAAACCTCTGTTCACGGAGGTCCGGAAATGCCGAATCGTTTCACGGGACTAAAATGGCTGCCGTTTCATCCGTCCAACCTACTTTCTTTGCGTATAGGTAAACCACGTGCAACTTACCCTTGTGCTTATTGTGTGTGTCTTTTTCAGCGGATACTTAGCTTCATTTGGTATCAAAGTCTGTGAACTAACATTAACCCCAACCTATGTCGTTCATTTTCCTGAATTGCAACATAATGCGAAGCAGCAAGCTTTTCATGTGCAATGACAAATGTTCAACGGAAGCAAAATCAGAAATACCCAAACATCTAAATAAAACCTGAAATTATTCAGCAATCCATCAATTTTATGAAGTCTTATCAAAAGGTGAGATGGCGAGTGAAACAACCCACTTGGTGTTATAGTAACATTTTTTCATCGAATTTTTGGAAATTCGCCAGCCCAAAGCAAAGTGTTTGACCATAATGCATGAACTAATTTGCTTTATACCACGACCGAGTTACAGAGATGTTTCTTCTGACAAGTTAGACGGCCGTCGTTATCTGAATGCAGCTTTTGTAAAGCCAGACCAGCATCCAGCAACTCTGGTTTTTGTTTCTAGTAAAGTTGGACACTTTCCCCTCATGACAAAGAACCTTGATCCTAATTTGATTCAGAATAGTATTTTTCCGGACACAAAAGCGCTTCTGTCGAAACCTCCATACCCCCTTGCTTACGGCCCTAAAAATATTTCCAATAACGTTGAACATTTGGCCAGACTTGCTTTCAGTCACCGCAGCTGAGTTAACCAAGTTTTTTTTAAATCTTGTGTGTTGTGTTGACATACTTATTCAACGCGTGTGTGTGTTACGTAACAGTTTTATCTCCCTCTCCCAGGAACCCAAACGACTCTGGTGTTCAAAGTTCAACTTGGTCACCTGATCTCCAGAACCGACGGAAAGGAAAACGTTACTCTAACGAGATTTGGGTTCCTTACGATGCCACCGAGCGGTACATAGAATTTGGTAAGATGTGTAAAGACAGAAGCATTCAACAAGGCCGCATGTTGTTGAAAATTGCGCGCCATACCATGAGACTAGATCATGTGTCCAGGTCACATGGTCATATCACGTGGCCGTACAGTTTTTTTTTTTTGTTACAGATAACACGTTCTATCTTTAAGTTTATTTTCGTATCTATATAAGTAACATTTCTCATATTATTCTGAAATAACCCATTTTGATTTATTGTATGTCGACCACTTTTTGTTTGAGTGTATCGGTGGGTGAGATTTTCATTTTCAAAAACGTATTTTTTAGTACCTCTATACCAGTCCCATAGAACTTTTACAGTCTTTATAAACTTTAAAAAGTGATTCTCTTTAAGATGCAAGTTTTGATAATAAGTCTTTCTAGTGGTAAAAAAATATACAGCGTATATGTACACTTTTATCTTAGTATTTTAAATCTAATTTAGTAAAGATCAATATCAATAACTGTCGATTTGTGCTAAATATAATGTTCCAAGCGCTAGGCAATATTGTGCAATTTCTAACTAACAACACTGTCACCGTACACTTTGATGCATTCCAGCTATGCGCCCGAGAATACGTACCCATTATAAAGGCGCCAAGATGGCTCTTTGGTTGGAACTTATTCCCAAAATATACAATTCCGACGACCTCGACCCCGTCTATCACCTTCTCGATAATTATGATAGAAACGAGACCTTCGAACAAGACACGCGGCCGCTGGGGTTCACTTTCCCGCCGCCGCCGAGTCCACCGACCCCTCCAGCGACAACAACGCTTGGCTCTCCAAAGAAAACCGGCATTGCTTCACCAGCCGTGGAAACACCAAAGGTCACACCGAAACCGTCCCTGTACCCGAAACTTGGTCCTACAGGGGGCGGTGGTTCTCTTGGATCTGGCAAACCAAAGAACAGCACTGCAGCGGCAACAGGGGCACAAACTATGCCCTACCCAATGGGGATCATTGTGGCCGTGGGGGGCTCACTGTTATTCCTGAATTTGATCGTACTTATAGTGACGTGTTATCAGAGGCGGAAAATGCACCGGGAGGAGAAATTTCGTATCCAGGAGCTGGAACTTCAGAAGGACTTGTTAAACGTCCACTCGGAACATTTACAGAATGCTAAGAACAGCGCGCAGGACATGGAAATAGACTCCAAAGGAAGCACGCCTCTTCCTACCCCTCCCCATAGATACACTCAGCATCAAATGCACCCAGATAACCTTACCAAAGTGACAATTCCACACATGATTCCACCAAATGCTCACGCGCCAACATGTAGGTTTGCGCATTTACATAAACTTAGCTCCTCCGATGACGATGACGATGAGGATGACGAAAGCGGTACGTTGCATAGCAACACGCCCGTGAAGCAAACTCCCAAACAACATGGTGGTTTGTCACCAAGGAATCATAATATAAACAGTCCACAAAACATACCAAATGGAGATCCCAAACAGACAATGATGAAATCGTTTACGTCCCCAAAGCAGGAACTTTCTAATCACGTTCATCCGACGACCGTAGTGTGATAGCGATCACGTGAGAAAATGATCACGTGAGATAGTGATCACTGGATATGATGATCGCAAGGTCTACTGTGGTAAATTATTAATACTGGTGGTGTGAAGTCAAGTTTGGGGTTTCTAAAATCGGAAACAGGTCCAAAACTTTTCATGAAACGACCAAATTGTTTAACTAGGAACTCAATTTTGAGGCTCTTTGAATCTCTCTTTGTGGCATGTTTCACTTAACGGCGCATTTTGAACCTCTGTGCGGTGAATACTTCTTGGCTAGACTCACCTTGTTACTGCAAATATATCAGACGATATACGAGTATTCCACCCAGTAAAATCTATTTGTACTGTCACTGTAAGTGTTTTTATATTGTCATTTTAGCTCTATTGATCAACATCGCTGTCGTGATACTGTTTTGTATAATGTGTAATGATGACGTTTTTCTGATCAACGGTTTTGACGTCACTTGATGACGTCACTATGTGTACCCTCCTAACTGGGTCTGGTCCCAGCTGATCCAGTATTTGCTAAAGACTTTAAAAATATAATGGTATAAAACAAATGCACAGTTTATCAAACTTGCATGTTTTTCCGTTGTCTCTCTCGTTATAAAGTTTTTGGGGGAGCGAGAAAGGGGAGAAGTGGGCTCGGAAGTAAGAGAGAATCACGTGCCCTCTGTGCCCCCTCTCCCCCCCCCCCCACCCCCATTTGCCATTGTGCTTATTATAGATGTCCAAAACAGCAAGTTTCATTATTCTGAACAAAGATAACTTTTAGATAAGTGAACACACAAAGTTATGTGTTCATTTTTTTATCCATCGCTTCAATAAATCCCAATGCAGATTTGATGGGCAATTGTTAACTACAAGAAGCTTTCATAATATAAAAGACGTCAATTTACAGCAATGTGTCTACTTATTCTTTGTTTTTATTTGCTTTTATGTCATTAGTTTTTGTGTGACTCTTAAGGTAAAGTAAAGTGATAATATACATGTATGTTTTTTTTTGACTAAAATGTTTCACTTGTCCGGGATCCGTTCTGATACATACACTGCAGACGTA